GGGTTGGGGTGGGGGTGTGATGCACGGGGGGGGGTGTGATGAACCGGGGGTGTGTGTGATGCACGGGGGTGGGGGTGGGGGTGTGATGCACCGGGGGTGGTGGGGGATGGGAGTGGATTAGTTCGAGGGAGACGGAGCGCGGCTGTGTCTGCGCTGAGCCCCCTCCCACTCGTGAGGATTCCACGAAGCGGTTTCCTGTGAAAGGCCGCGGCCAGCGTGGCTTTCGGGTTCAAAGGCTTGGAGAAAGCTGACGCACAAACTGACACACAAGACGAAATATTAATTTTGAAATTATGGGGGAGCCAGGGGAAGACTCGGCCGGAGAAGTCAAGTTCCGCAGTCTCCGTCCCGGCTGCTTTTATTCTCTAGGACACGCGATTGCCTTTAGGAATGCGATTGCCTTTAGGAATGCGGACGTTTAGTGAACAGGAAGATGGCCAGGTTGGGGAGTGTGCTTAGCCAGCCGTGGGCAAACTACGGATCCGGCCCGTTTGAAATGAATAAAACTAAGAAAAAAAAAAAAAAAGACCGTACCCTTTTATGTAATGATGTTTACTGTGAATTTATATTAGTTCACACAAACACTCCATCCATGCTTTTGTTCCGGCCCTCCGGTCCAGTTTAAGAACCCATTGTGGCCCTCGAGTCAAAAAGTTTGCCCACCCCTGGTTAGGCCATTGAGTCAGCAGCAGGTGATAAAATGCAAATCTTCACCGTGTGAATAGCAGAAGGAGTCCCTGCCAGCCTTCTGCCGGGCTCCTCGCATTTATATTGATTACTGTTGACTCCTCCCATTTATATTAATTACCGTTGACTCCTCCCATTTATATTGATTACTGTTGACTCCTCCCATTTATATTAATTACTGTTGACTCCTCCCATTTATATTAATTACTGTTGACTCCTCCCATTTATATTAATTACTGTTGACTCCTCCCATTTATATTAATTACTGTTGACTCCTCCCATTTATATTAATTACTGTTGACTCCTCCCATTTATATTAATTACTGTTGACTCCTCCCATTTATATTAATTACTGTTGGTTTCCAGCGGTTTCCCAGCCTTCGGAGACGCCCAGCCCCAACGTGGGATGGGGATTCCCGCAGCAGCGGCCGAGCAGGAAGGCGGGTCCCGGGGCGGGGGAGGGAGGCCCGCGCTCACCCGGTTCCTGCGGGTGGAAGCGGGGCCGCCTGCTCGGCCCGGCTGTGGGCGCCGCCGGGAGGGCTTGGAGTGGCGGAGCCGGTGGCGGAGGCGGCACTCCGAGCACCACAGGGTCAGCGAGCGATCGCCCAGCGTGGCGTCGGGTCCGCCGCAGGCCGCCTGTGCCTGGTGGGACTCGGGAGCGGAGTGCGTGCTGCTGGGGCTGCGGGACGCGGAGGCGGTAGCGCTCCATCCCGGAGCAGGCCGGGCCTCGGGGCGCTCGGGACGGCCTTCCCTCCCCGAGCAGTAGCCGCCCGCGGCCAGGCGGCTCTCGGACCACGGGTCGCCCGCCGTGGCGGCCGCTGAGAGCGTCCAGGCTGGACACGGGAAGGTCTGCTGGGCGCTGCGTGTGCAGTGGTCCCCGGTGCACCCCGCATGCTGGCTTCGAGGCGGAGGGAGCGCTGGCTTGGAGCGCAGCAAGTCCTCCTATGTGGGCTGGGAATGGCCCTGTCACTTTCTAGATTCACTTAAAATAAAACCAGTCTCTCTCTTTTTGGTCCCAAACCGAACGTTTGTTAGTCTCCTTTCAGGGCGGTGGTACTGGACTCACCGGGGTCCATCACTTTGTCAGTGATGTAACTGTCCACCGCCATGCTGTCCGCGGGAAACATGATAGGGGCAGGGCAAAAGCAGGGTTACAATTGTGAGCACGTGAAACAGTTTATTCTTGTGCGATTATCAATTATTTGTTACTTTACATGCAAGCAACGTAAACCTACTTTTGCCCCACCCTGGATTGAATGTAACTGAGGGAAATATTCATGTTGGCAAATGATGTTGCATTGAAGAAGTTGTTTGTGTGCCATTATGCCAGACACACTCTAGGGAAGTATGAAATAATCATACTGTTAATAAAAGACAAAAATCATTCTTTTAAAAAATGTTAGGGTTTTGTGTATGTAATACATTTGTTACACAATTTACCACCTTTAATTGCGGTTAGCTTGTTGCTGGGGTCCAGCTGATCGGGACTGGGTGAGAGGGGCTGGATGCGCCCTGGAGCTGTCCCGTGGTCCCTCCCCAGCGCCTGATCTTGCACAGGTGGGGTCCCTCGGCCTGGCCTGCGCATCTTGCAATCGGGATCCCTCTGGGGATGTCCGAGAGCCAGTTTCCACCCGCTCCCTTCAGGCCAGGCCGAGGGACCCCACTGGTGCACAAATCCGTGCACTGGGCCTCTAGTATGTGTGTGTGTGTATATGTGTGTGTGTATATATATATATTAGTGTGTGTGTGTGTATATGTGTATATATATGTATATATATACACACACATACTAGCGTGTGTGTGTGTGTGTATATATATATATATATATTAGTGTGTGTGTATGTGTATATATATGTGTGTGTATATATATATATATATATATATACACACACACATACTAGCATGTGTGTGTGTGTGTGTGTGTGTGTGTTAGCCAACATTTTTTGTTTCCTTCATTGCACTTAATTTGTTCCCACGACTGGAGCTACTTAATGCATTTTGTTGTAGAAATGAACAGCTTTGGTTTTCATTCGGGCACATTACAGTATGTAATGCTTTCAATTCCAACCTTCTCGCAGTGGGCGCTTCGTGCTTTTTTCCTGCTTCAGTTGTTTCTGTCCTTTGGGTTCCAGTTTACCTTCCTCCTCTTCTTGTAGCTTTCTTCCAGCCTGGAGACACTGTCCTTTGGGAACTGGGGGTTCTTAACACAGTGTAGTCAATGACTCTTTCTTAGGCTAAATTGTAATCTGTAAGGGCAGGGCACAGCTTGTGTCTGTATTTTGTATCCCTGTCAGTCCTAGCCATTTAATTGGTAATTCGTGAGCAATTGGAGAGGAAGGGGGTGATTTGTTATTTTGTTAAATTCAAGAAAAAGAAGGTGACAGTACAACCCCTTAGTGCAGCATGGCCCCCTCTGTCTACTGTCATTACTTGGGTTCAAACCCCAGCCTCTCTGTTTATTAGCTATAACTGCTTTAGGCAAATTATTATTTTTAAAAAATGTTTTTATTGATTTCAGAGAGGAAGGGAGAGGGAGAGAAAGATAGAAACATCAATGATGAGCCCTAGTGGGTATGGCTAAGTGGATAGAGTGTTGGCCCACGGACCAAAGTGTCCCGGGTTCGATTCCAGTCAAGGACATGTACCTCGGTTGCAGGCTTAATCTCCAGCCCTGGTCGGGGGCATGCAGGAGGCAACCAATCGATGTGTCTCTCTCACATCCATGTTTCTGTGTATCTCTCCCCCTCCCACTCTCTCTAAAAAGCAATGGAAAAATATCCTTGGGTCAGGATTAACAAACAAACAAAACAAAAAACATCAATGATGAGAGAGAATCGATTGGCTCTCTTCTGCACGTCCCTCACTGGGGAAGGAGTCCACAACCAGGCATGTGCCCTGACCCGGAATTGAACAAGGCTTGCTCAACCACTGAGCAACACCGGCAAGGCAAATTATTTCACATATCTGTGCCTTAGTTTTCTCACCTGTAAAATTAGGGTTATGATGAGCACAGCAACAGTATATCTCAGAGGGTTGGTGGGAGGATTTAGTGAGCGTAGATTTGTGAAACTTCTAGAAAAGTATCTGGCTTATAGTAAATGCCATCAGTGGAAATAATTGTTATAATTAGATATTTCTGACCATTTAAAAAGTGCCTCTTTCCCCCCCAAATTTAGGAGGATATGGCAAAAAAAGTGGTCGTAGTAAAAAATGGAGGGAGATGCTGAAGCTGCCCCCTGTTAGCCAGTGCAACGAGCTTAGACAATCCATTGGTGAGTAAACGGCTCTGCTGTGTCTGCGGCGCCTCTGGCATTGTATCGCTTGTTAGGTGTTATGTCTTGAGTTCCTTTCTTGTTTCAAAAATTATATATACATTCTTCTGTCTTCATGGTTCTTCCCAGGGAAGTAAAGCTGTAGGTTTCCTAATGGGAGTTATATGTGTATGGCCATAGCAGTGACACTGTTAACTGTTTCTCAGGCTCTTTCCACACACAGTTCTCTATGCATGTGGACAAGAAGGACTGATGGTAACTTCAGGAAAGGATTAGTCAGATGGAAGGTGACCTGTCCGTTACCGGAACCCTGCAGCTGTGAGGAGGGAGAGTTAGCTACAGTCCTGATGTGCGCACAGGAAGTCAGATGTGGACCCTGTCTACAGGGCAGTCATCATTGTATTTTTTAAAAGATGTGTTTTTCAGTTCAAAGGGTATATGCATTCAAAATTTTGATGTTGCCAAATTACTCTTCAAAGAGGTTGTATCAATTTACTTTCCTGCCAACAATATGTTACAAGGTTTCTTTGCCTGTGACCTTGTTAACATATTAAAGTAATGATATTGTTTTCAATATTTTTAATAAAGATAAACTATAATTTGAAAATCGTCTCGTTTTATTTATGGATGGGGTTGAGCATTTTCATGAAGTTTTTAAAATTTTTTGCTTTTTCTAACTCATTTGTAAAGGCTCTTTTTGTATGAAAGGAACTTATCTTTAGATATTCAAATGTGAATATATTTTATATATCTGCTTTTTTGGCATACAGTATGTTTTCTCATATAGAAGTTTTAATTTTTTATGTAGACAAATATATATCAATTTTCTTCGTTTTTGTACTTAGTCTTGTGCTTAGGGAAGACACCAAAGATTAATTTTTTTAAAAAAATCAATCCAGCCCTAACTGGCTTGGCTCAGTGGATAAAGCGTCGGCCTGCGGACTGAAAGGTCCCAGGTTCGATTCCGGTCAAGGGCATGTACCTTGGTTGTGGGCACATCCCCAGTAGGGGGTGTGCAGGAGGCAGCTGATCGATGTTTCTCTCTCATCTATGTTTCTAACACTCTATCCCTCTCCCTTCCTCTCTGTAAAAAATCAATTAAATATATATATTTAAAAAAATCAATCCATCTTTTCTTTAGTATTATAGTTCCTTTAAGAAAGTTTAGATATTTTAACTATCAAAAATAATTTCAGCACTAGATGGTTTGGCTCAGTGGATAGAGTGTCGGCCTGTGGACTGAAGGGTCCCAGGTTTGATTCCAGTCAAGGGCACATGCCCGGGTTGTGGGCTCGATCTCAGTAGGAGGTGTGCAGGAGGCAGCCGATCAATGATTCTCTCTCATTGATGTTTCTATCTCTCTCATCATTGATGTTTCTATCTCTTCCTCTCTGAAATCCATAAAAATATTTTAAAAAATAATAAAATAATTCCAGACAGTATAAAGAAGGTAGTTTCCCCCAAGACCTATCCAGTTGTTTCAGCCTCATTATGTGTTTACAATGGCAGCTTTATTGAGATGTGATTAACATGCCATACAGTTTACGTACTTAAAGTGCACAATTCAGTGATTTTTATAGCTATGGAGTTGTGCAACCATTCCCACAATCAAGTTTACCTTTTCATCACCTCAAAAAGAAGCCCCATGCCCATTGGGGTCACTCCCCATTCCCTCCCCCTTCAGTCCTAGGCAGCCACTAATCTGCTCTCTGGACTTGCCTTTTCTGGATATTTCATGTAAATGGAAACCATATACTAAGTGGTCTTTTATGACTGGTTTCTTTTATTTAACACATTTTCAAGGCCATTCATGCTGTAGCATGAATCAGTACTTAATTCACTTTTGTTGGCAAGTAATAGTCTGTTGTGAGGATATATTGCATTTTATTTATTCATCAGTTAATAGACATTGAATTGTTTTTATTTTTATGTCTATATATATATAAAAGGCTAATATGCAAAGTGTCCCTCGGGAGTTTGAGCACTCGCTATGAAGTGTGCTGACCACCGGGGGTGGCGTGGAAAAGGGTAGGTGACTAGTGGCAGCGGCGGAGCACCAAGGGAGCGAGGGAAGGAGGAGGCAGGGAGGTGGGGAACCTGATTGACCCGGATCACCGGCCAGGCCTAGGGACCATACTCATGCATGAATTTCGTGCACCAGGCCTCTAGTTATGAGTAATACTGCTACAAACATTTACGTACGAGTTTTTTATTGTGGTGAGAAATACTAAGATTACCATTTTAACCATTTTAACGTAAAATTCAGGGGCATTAATGTGGACAGCACATGTTAATTTGGATTTTGGTCACTCATCTGTTGGTGGGCATTGGGGACGTTTCTGCCTTTGGGCTGTTGTGAGTAAGCTGCTGGGATCGTTGGTGGAGACATTCGTCTGAGCCCCTGCTTTCACTTCCTTTTGTGTATATACTCAGAGTTAGAATTGCTGAGCGGGAGGGAATCCTGTGTTTGACTTTCCGAGGAAGCGCCACACTGTTTTCCACAGTGCTGTACCCTTTCCATTCCCCAGCAGTGGATGGGGATTCCAATTTCTTTACATCCGCACCAGCACTTTTTATTTTCCTTTTTGTTTGCACTGCAGCCGGCCGGGTGGGTGGGAAGTGGTATCTCATTGTGTTTTGCTTTGTAGTTCCCAAGACGAACGATGTTGAGCATCTTTTTATGTGCTTATTGGCCATTTATGTTTTCTTGGAGAAATGTCTGTTAAAATTCTTTGCCCATTTTTAGTCCTGGCCATTGTTGCTCAGTAGTTGGAGCATTGGCCCGAGCACTGAAGGGTTGTGGGTTCAGTTCTCAGTCAAGGGCACTGCCTCGGTTGCGTGTTCACGCCCCGCCCCTCCTCCCTTGGGGGGGGGTTGTATGCGGAAGGCCATCGAAGGATGTGTTTCTCTCACATTGATGTTTTTCTCTCTCTGCCCTTCCCTCCCTTCCACTCTGGAAAATCAGCCCTTGGGTAAGCATTTATTTATTTATTTATTTATTTATTTATTTTTAAATTAGCTCTTTTTTTTTTTTTAAATATATTTTTTATTGATTTTTTACAGAGAGGAAGGGAGAGAGATAGAGAGTTAGAAACATCGATGAGAGAGAAACATCGATCAGCTGCCTCCTGCACATCTCCCACTGGGGATGTGCCCGCAACCCAGGTACATGCCCTTGACCGGAATCGAACCTGGGACCTTTCAGTCCGCAGGCCGACGCTCTATCCACTGAGCCAAACCGGTTTTGGCTTGGGTAAGCATTTAACAACAGCAGCTTCCTGGCCCGTATTTAAAGGGCCGTCTGTCCATGGTTGAGATGTGAGCATCTTCATGCGTCTGGGTACTAGGCCACAGCAGATACTTGATTTCCGAATATTTTCTCCCACTTTGTGCTTTTCTCTCATTGTCTTGATGATGCCCTTTGAGGAACACAAGTCTCTTCTTTGAAGAAGTCCAGTTGACTGTTTGTTGTTGCTGCTTGTGCTCTGGTGTCGTAGGTAAGAAACCACTGCCTAATCCACAGCCATGAAGACGCGCACCTAAGCTTTCTCTTACATTTGGTGTTTGGTCCAGTTGAAGTTAATCTTTGTGTTGGGGTGAGAGAAGGATCCAGTTTCATTTTTTTCCTCTGGATATGCAGTTGTCCCAGCCCCATTCATTGCAATGACTGTTCTTTCGCATTGAATTGGCACCTTTATAAGAACCAGCCATGTTTGACTTTCCAAGGAACTGCCTGACCCTCTTCCAAAGCAGTCGCATCCCTGTCCATTCCCGGCCCCTCCTCCTCCCTGAGCTGCATTTCCCTCATGGCTGAGGACGACTGGGGGCGGGGGGGCGGGGCAGGAGAGGGCGGGGTTTGTAGCCGCTGAGGGTTTTTGTCAGGTTTTTAGCAGAGGAATGATGTAATCAGATTCACATTTTCGAAGGGTCTCTCAGGCTTCAGTGTGAAGAATGAGATTGAGAGGGTCAGGAGTGGGGACAGGAAGGCCATATGGGGGCTCACCGTTGTGCAGGCAGGAGACGGCAGCTTGGTGTGGGGGGGTGAAGACAGGAATGATGAGACTTCCGGAAGCGGAATCCAGGTGAGTTCTGTGTGGAAGGAGGGAGGAGGGACTGAGGTGATGTCTAGGTCTGGTCCATTCAGAGAGGGGCTCGGAGTGGGAGGAGCCGCTGGGATGGAAGGTGTGCATGTAGGGCTCCGAGAAATCCGGGCTGTAGATCGAGGCGATATCTGTAGGTGGCATCCAGGAGTCACAGACTGCCAGTGGGTAAGGTCTCCCTGGAGACGGCAGCAGGTGAAGAGGCGTCTGCCACCCACTGCTTACCTCTGGCCGCTGCGCTGCAGCCCTTCTCTGCTCCTGGGAGCCCAGACAGCCCCTCCCTTCTGTCCGTTCCCAGGAGCCAGCACTGTCCCGTGCCCACTCCTCCCTCCTCCCTCCTCCCTCCTCCCTCCTCCTTCCTCCCTCCTCCCTCCAGCTCTGCTCACTCCTCTCCAGGGATGGTGCTCCTCCTGCCTCTTGGCCCCCCAGCTGCAGAGCCGCCTGCTGGCCCGTTGTCCCCTCGTAGGTGGCAGGCTCCTTAGAGGGTCGAGAGAAGCTCCTTTGTAGGCATCAGGCTATTGAAAATCTGACCCTGTTTTTAAAAACAAAATTTTAAGCTTCATTTGCCTCTACATTTGCCTCCATGTCCGCCTTTCAGCCTCTGAACTGCTTGTGGGGTCAGTCACTCACCTTCTGTGAGTCTTGGGCCCTAGATTATCCTGAGAATTAAAGTCGGTGCTGGGCTGTGTAGGTCTCCTGTGCCCTGAGGCAGGCAGGGGTGGTTGGGGCACGGAGGGGAAAGTGCCGCGCACTGTCCGCACCTCCGGGGGGTCCTGCCGACGCCTGGGCAGGTAAGTTTCTGAGTTCTTACATTTTGGGAAATGCCCCCATTTTTGTCTTCTCGTTGGATAGTGATGGAATTGAGTAAGGTTTTCGGTTTATTCGGGTTTGTGCTCACAGCTGCGTTTGTTCGCTCACGGCCAGCGTGGCTTCCCTCGTGGTTGCAGAGCTGTGCTTCCTGCGGGGCGTGTTCTCTCTCTCTCTCTCTTCTCTCTCTCTCTCTCTCTCTCTCTGTCTGTCTCTCTCTGTCTCTCTCTCTCTCTCTCTCTCTCTCTCTCTCTCTCTCTCGTGTTCTGGTTGGGGGGTGCGCCAGTGGGGGTCCGGTGGCCGCACACACAATCCCTTGGCTTGGCCAACATTTTAGTTCCTTCAGCCGGGCTCTGCCTCTCCCGGCGGGGTCCCAGGATCTCTGGGCAGACACCCACTTTCTGTAAAGTGGGTCCAGCCATTCTGACCAGGGCGGGAGGGGCTCCCGTGATAGAGGTTTGTGGGAGCCCCAGCTTATCTCTGGGGTCTCAGCTGATGTTCCTTTAGCTCGGACCCCAGCAGCTCTCTCTCTGACTCGTGAGGGCACCCTGTATTCTTCCCACAGGAGGCGTCATGGCTCATGTGGCTGCTGTTGTGTTAACTTGTAGCACTTTCCACGGGGATCTGGGAGGGAGATCGGCCTGCCTGTGTGCTCATCTGCCGCCTCACCAGGAAGCTAGGGACAGTGCTTAACCTTCAGATTCGGAAGGAAAGCGTTAAAAACTGGCCTGTGTGTGTGTGTGTGTGTGTAATTCTCACCCCAGGATATTTTTCCATGGATTTTTTAGAGACAGTGGAAGGGAGGGTGGGGGAGGGAAGAGAGAGAGAGAGAGAGAGAGAGAGAGAGAGAGAGAGAGAGAGAGAGAAGACCATCACTATGAAAGATTGGTTGCCTTTCACTTTCAGGGCAGGGATCAAGCCTGCAACCGAGGTATATGCCCTTGACCAGGACCCTTCAGTTCACTGGCTGACACCACTGAGCAAACCGGCCAGGGCAAAAACTTACATCTTTTTTTTAAATATACTTCTTTATTGATTTCAGAGAGGAAGGGAGAAGGAGAGAGAGATAGAAACATCAATGATGAGAGAGAATCATTGATCAGCTGCCTCCCACAACCCCCCCACTGGGGATGGAGCCCGCAACCCAGGCATGTGCCCTTGGCCGGAATCGAACCTGGGACCCCTCAGTCTGAAGGCCGACACTCTATCCACTGAGCCAAGCCAGCTAGGGCCTTACATCTTTTTAAAAAATATATATATTTTATTGAATTTTTACAGAGAGGAAGGGAGAGGAATAGAGAGTTAGAAACATTGATGGGAGAGAAACATCAATCAGCTGCCTCCTGCACACCTCCTACTGGGGATGTGCCCACAACCAAGGTACATGCCCTTGACTAGAATCGAACCTGGGACCTTTCAGTCCGCAGGCTGACGCTCTATTCACTGAGCCAAACCGGCTAGGGCAAAACATAACTTTTAAGGAGCATCGCTTTTTGACCGCCTCATGTCTTTTTTAAAATTGTAGTTAGTAAGTCTCCGGCTGGTTTGGCTCAGTGGCTATAACGTTGACTTTTGGACCCAAAAGGTTCCAAGTTCAATTCTGGTCAAGGGCATGTACCTGGGTTGCAGGCTCCCCCCCAGCCCGGGCCCTGGCCGGGGCTCGTGCAGGAGGCAGCAGATCTATGTGCTTCTCTCACATGATCTTTCTCTCTGTCTTTCCCTCTCTCTTTTACTCTCTCTAAAAATCAATGGACAAATATCCTCTGGTGAGGATTAAAATGAAAAATCTGTAATAATAAAAGCATAACATGCTAATTAGACCAGACGTCCTTCTGGATGTCCTTTCGGACGACCTTCCAGACGAAGCCGGGGCTGGGAGGGAAGCCGGGGTCCCAGGTGCCAGAGGGAAGCTGGTGCTGGCAGCCGGGGGTGGGGTGGGGGGTTTAAGGTGTACTCTTGCACAAATTTCGTGCATTGAGCTTCAAGTAAGTAAGTAAATAAATGATAAAAAAATAAATATATTTTTTATAGTTAGTTATTTAGGGAATAAATATATTCCCTAAAAATAAAATGTAGCGAAATTGGACACAGCGGGTTGTGGGGCTTTTACAACACCTTTGCTGATGTGGGAACCGTGGTTGTGCCCTGGGCCCCAAGTGTATCCCTTGCCTGTGTTGTGTGCGAGCTCAGTGGTCCAGAGCGGACGGCGTAGCTCCCTGCGTTCCCTGCATCTCCCCCGCAGCTGAGGAGTTGGTCATGGCTTGCTTGCTTTTCATGAATTTCATTTCATTGTTCAGCTTAGAGCCATTGCAGAAGTACTTGAACATGGTTATGTTCATTTCAAGTTCAAAGTCACTGCTAACAGGGCAGCTGATTTTCTCGCCGAAGTTTAAATTAACCTGTTTTGAACATGGTTGTTTATATCCCCCTTGACACTTTGACCAGATATTAGTGCCTTGTTCTCAAAACAGTGTTAGTGTTTAGGGTAAGGTAAGGTGGACAACATATTATTTCTCTGAAAAGACAAGGAAAAAAGGTCCCAAGAGCAGTTAAGAAATCATTAAGCATTAACAGTATTTGTCGCTTGTGAATGTATGGAAAGGTAGCCAAATGGAAAGGGTTTCCGGGGTCTAATTCAGCGCCTTCCTGCGGTGTATTTCTCGCGCATGTAACTTGTCTCGGGCACCTCCCTGCTTCCGTGGTGTGACCGTGACCCAGTCCCCTCGGGAACACTGCTCCCCGCGTGTTTCCTTTGGGGAGCAGGGCGACCCAGCAGCTTCACACACCTTAGTTGCCAATTCTTCCAGCGACCTTTGGCTCTGCTTCGGTATTTCAAATATTCGTCATGATAGGCCAGTCTAAATGGGTAAACCAAACAGTGATCTAAAAAATGCTGCAAATACTATTTTTGACTCTTATTATATCTGGTGTGTAAGGTTCTGAAGTAGCATTTTCTGAATTGTAACCATTATGTTTCCTCCTTTCTTCACCCAGAAAAGGATTACAGCAGTCTGTGCGACAAGCAGCCAATAGGAAGACTTCTCTTCCGGCAGTTCTGTAGCACCCAGTACAGCCTGCAGCGGTGCATTGAGTTCCTGGACGCGGTGGTGAGCGGTTTCTCTGTGTTGACCCAGCTGCTCTGTGCTGGAGGGGACCTGAGTTAGTTGACTGGGCAGTGGGGGGAGGGGGAGTGAGTGGCCCCCATCTCTCACTCCTGTGGCGTAAAGCGGCCACTCGCAGGACTGCATCTCAGGGCTGGAGGGCACCTGTGCTTGGCGAGTAACTTTGAAACTTGCTGCTTTAATTTGTGAGAAGGTTGGACAGCTAATGAAGACCATGTGCTTATGGGCAGCCCCTGAGAGGTAGCCTTCCTCAGTCATAGCAGGTGCTGTCTGCTTCCTGCACTGGCTCCGAAGCATACGGGCAGTAAACTCAGTGTAAGAAGGATAGTCAGGGCAAGTGGAGTTTATGACTTATAAAATGTTCCACATTCTCAGGTTTGTCATCTCCTGAGATTTCCTGATGGGTAAAGAATCCTGCGTTTCTGAATCTGGAGAGATAGCTCTGGCAAATGTAGAAGCTTGAAACTGAAATTCAGAAGGCAACTTAACAGTAGAAAATTGGTAAACTCTAGCAGAAAAGCTCTCTTACCAAACCTAGGGCACTTTCTCTGTCCTGGGTGTATCAGCAAATATGTATTGACTACTTCCTATACCTAGAGCACTATCTTATGTCATTGAGTGTTTACTCCCTTTTTTCTCTGACGTAGCTTCTAAAAGACACGTGTTTGTAATGTATTCTTTCAGAAAAACACTTGAAGCTCTTGACTATTTTGTTGTTTGCTCCCTACTCCCTGGGGCTCCCCCTTTCCTTCCTGGTACCATTACTAGAAAAAGACGAGGCTTGTGAAGGAGGCAATTACCTTTTAAAGGTAGAATTCTGATGCAGTGGGGCTGCCTGCTGGGCTCCGGTAGAATGTGATATGTCTAACGTATCCTATATAATAAAAGGCTAATATGCAAATTGTCCCCTCGACTGGGAGTTCAACCGGGAGTTTGACCAGGGGGTGGGGCCTGCCAACCACCCGAGACCGCCCTCCCCCCCCCACCCCCACCTCCAGCTGGATCCCACCTGTGCATGAATTCGTGCACTGGGCCTCTAGTTGGGTTATATTTGCCAAGCTGCTATATTTTAGACATTCTTTTTTATTTTTTTTAGTATATTTTATTGATTTTTTACAGAGAGGCAGGGAGAGGGATAGAGAGTTAGAAACATCGATGAGAGAGAAACATCAATCAGCTGCCTCCTGCACACCTCCTACTGGGGATGTTCCCACAACCAAGGCACATGCCCTTGACCAGAATTGAACCTGGGACCCTTCAGTCTGCAGGCTGGCGCTCTATCCACTGAGCCAAACCGGTTAGGTCCAAGCTGCTATATTTTAGGAGTTCAGAGATCTATGACATCTGTACCAGTCAGGCTCAGTGAAAGGAACATGGCCATTAGGAGTTAGATGTGAAGAGATATACTAAGAGGAATTGGCTTTCCTGGCTGTGAGGTCTGGCTGGGAGAGTCTGCCCGCTGTAAGGCAGGCTATTGGGAAGGCAGGGCGGGACTCCGAAATGGGGTGAAGCCGCTCTTTTAGGCAGAAATTTCTTCCAGGAAGACTCCGCTCTGCTTTTTTAAGACCTTCAGCGGATGAGTCAGGCCCACCGGGCTGTCTAGGCGAGTCTCCCTCGTGCAGCCAGCGATGCAGACTTGAGTCGCCCTGCACTCACCATCGCAGCAGCGGTGCATTTGTGTTTGAGTAACTGGTTGTTCCTGCCCACATCCAAAGACTGCCACGGAACACAGTGCTTCCTTCCCACTAATCCCGGAAGCTGGCAGGGTCCTTAGGCGAGCGCTGTGCCCGCCCCAGTCAGGAGCACGCGCTGAACCCGCCTGCGCAGCCGCATCCCCGAGCTGGGCCTGTGAAGGGCACAGAGTGGAGGGCGAGGTTGGGGTCCCCCACAAGGACTCGCTCCCTGGGTACTTCTGTGTGTTCAGTAGATGAACTTCCTTTGCTTTGCTTTTCCTCACTTTCTCTTCAGCGCCATCTGGCTTTCAGGGTCCATAGTCTCAGTTCTCCACTTGCAAAGCCCAGGGCTGCCTCCCGGCCCCTCCTGCTGTCCCCATGGCTGTGGGCCTTGAGTGGCTTCTTCTAGAAACGCTCTCAGCCAGTCCTTTGTGGTCTCCTCTCGTTTGCTTCTTCTCTTACCTTTTTTCCATTTCTTCCTCCTTGCCTGTCCTTTATTGATGTGTAGCTATTGGTCAGGTTCTGCTTTTAATGTTTCCTCTCCTCTGGCCTGTGTGGCGTTGTCTGTTCTTGCAGTCTCTCCCCTGGCCCCCATGGTGGGTGACTGAGTCCCTGGGACAGTCTCCCCCGGCCCCTGTGGTGGGTGACTGACTCCCTGGGACAGTCTCCCCCGGCCCCTGTGGCCGGTGACTGAGTCCCTGGGACAGTCTCCCCCGGCCCCTGTGGTGGGTGACTGACTCCCTGGGACAGTCTCCCCCGGCCCCTGTGGCGGGTGACTGACTCCCTGGGACAGTCTCCCCCGGCCCCCGTGACCGGTGACTGACTCCCTGGGACAGTCTCCCCCGACCCCCGTGGCGGGTGACGGACTCCCTGGGACAGTCTCCCCCGGCCCCTGTGGCGGGTGACTGAGTCCCTGGGACAGTCTCCCCCGGCCCCTGTGGCGGGTGACGGAGTCCCTGGGACAGTCTCCCCCGACCCCTGTGGCGGGTGACTGAGTCCCTGGGACAGTCTCCCCCGGCCCCTGTGGCGGGTGACTGACTCCCTGGGACAGTCTCCCCCGGCCCCTGTGGTGGGTGACGGACTCCCTGGGACAGTCTCCCCCGGCCCCCGTGGCGGGTGACTGAGTCCCTGGGACAGTCTCCCCCGGCCCCTGTGGCGGGTGACTGACTCCCTGGGACAGTCTCCCCCGGCCCCTGTGGTGGGTGACTGAGTCCCTGGGACAGTCTCCCCCGGCCCCTGTGGCCGGTGACTGAGTCCCTGGGAACTGCACTCGGGTGTCCAGGGTGCCTGCTGGGCACTTCTGTGAGCTGCTTATTTGTTTGGCCACAGTTCGTGGCTGAAAGTATAAGACCGAGCATCGTGGAATGTGCTGCTCTGCTGTGTCATTAACCCTCAGCGCTCAGGAGGCCCTGGCACAGGGGGCTGCTCTGGGCGTGGCTGCCAGTCAGTTCCAGAGCCAGAGGTTTGCAGCCGCCTGACGCCCTCGAGGAGCGCAGCTAACACTCTCTCCCGTCGTCTCTGCACTCAGGCAGAATATGAAGTCTCCCCCGACGAGGACCGAAGAGAGCGCGGACAGTTAGTCTTAAACACGTTCTTCAATAATGAGGTGTGTTTTCTTCTTTAGATATAAGATTTGTAAATAGCTTACTTATATAGTTAGAGTACAGAGTCATTTTTATATAATTGGATAAATAGAACAAGTTTGTTAAAATCATTACTTTCTTATAAATGCTCCTCTCCCTGGCTCATAGCTGGCACCGTCTCACTGTGTGTCCTCACGTGGGGCTCTCCGGCTCGCACGGACTCCCTCCTCATGATCGAAGCACCTCCCAAAGGCCTTACATCTCAATGTTGTCACATTGGGGGGTAGGATCTCAACATAGGAATTTTGAGGGGACACATGCAGATCATAGCACTTGTATGTAGAAAACCCTAAGGTGTCCACACATACATTAGGGAGAAAAAACTAATAAATGAGTTTGTCAAGGTTGCAGGACACTGGATCACCATACAAAATTCAATTGTATTTCTAGCAATTAAAATCCAAAGTGAAATTAAGAAAGCAATTCCATTTACAACAGCATCAAAAGAAAGAGGAGTAAATATAAAAAGTGCAAGACTTTTGTACTTATAACCATCATTGAAAGGAATTGAAGAACTTAAATAGACTTCCCATGTTCATGGATTAGAAGACTTGATATTTTTAAGATGACAACACTCCCCACCATGATCTGTAGGTTCATTATAATCCCGACCGAAACCCTAGCTCCCCTTTCTGCAGAAACTAATAACTGATGAGAGAAGCTGCGTGGTGCTGGCATAAGGACAGTCACCCCATCAGTGGGCTGGGACTGATGCAGGAGCCAGCGCATCCGTTTGCAGTCAGCTGACTTACAACAGCCTACGACACCACTGGGGAGAGTCACCTTTCCAGAGACTGCAGGCACAGCTGGACGTCCACATGCAAAAGAATGGAGCTGGCCCTTACCTCACACCACACACAAAGCATCATCCAAATGGATCGAACACTTCAATGGAAGAGTGAAAGCCATAGAACTCCCAGTGGACGTCTCTGAGGTGTAAAGTTAGGTACAAAGCTTTTACGTTAGCTCTTCATGACCTTGGTTTAGACTGGTTTCTGAGCACAGTGAAAGGACAGCAACCTAAGCCCAACATTGCTCAGTGGTTAGAGCACAGGCCTGCGAACTGGAGGGTTGTGGGTTCGATTCCCTGTCAAGTGCAGGTACCTGGGTTGCAGGTCCAATCCCTGCCCCCGGTTGGAGTTGGTGTAGGAGCCAACCAATTGATGTGTCTCTGTCACATCGATACTTCTCTCTCTCTTCTTTCCCCCCCCACCCTTCCATTCTCTCTAAAATCAGTGAAAAAATTTCAGCACTCGTTGGGTAAGGATAAAAAAGTTTTTTTAAATGAATAAATAAGTAAATAAACTGGACTTGATCAAAATTAAAAACTTTGTGCTTCAAAGAGCACTATAAAGAAAGTGAACAGACAACCTACAGAATGGGAGAAATTATCTGCAAAGCCAAGATCTGCTCAGGTCTGGTATCCAGGATATAGAAAGAACTCTTAAATTCAACAATAAAGACAGCCCAGTTTAAAAAAAGAGTAAAGTCTGTGTTTTTAACACAGAAAAAGAAGCCTATTTCTGCACAGTTCACCCCCCTCCTTTTCTGCAGCGGACTTTCCCATCTGAGGTCTGCACGTCCAGGACTTAAAAAAGCAGGGCAACCCCCTCTTCTGAGAAGGACTCTTGCTCCTGAGTTGAAGGCCCAGAAGGTCTGTCTGACTTTACGGTTAGCAGGCCTTCCCTTGCCTCTGCTCAGGGAGGATCACAGCACTGCTTGTCCTTTCTGTGGGAAGACATTATTCTTAAATAAAAATGTTCTAAGTTACCGAGAAAAGGGTCTCTAGTTAAAGTTAATCATTAAATCTGCTATTTAGCTACAGAAAACAGACCTTGGGAAAGGACCTAAAACTATGGAAAACCCTGAGAACTATTTCTTAAAAATACATTTTTTTGAGACAGTTTTGAAATTTGGTGGCTTTATGTTCTGTGAAAATTTTGTCTTGTTTTCTGTTGTCTCCTATGCCTGGGACAAGGTGTGTTTGTTGAGTAAATGAATGAGCAGACTTCTTTCCTGAAGGGTGGAAGGAATGAACCCACTTACCCGCGTCATGGCCTGCGTGTAGGGGAGCCTGGTCAGGGGAGTGAGTCCAAGAGCATGATGTGGTCTCTGCTCTCCCTCTTCTTGCTGTGGGTATGGAAACGCGCTGCCGCGGTCCACACCTCGTCCACCCGGTGTGGTGAGGCTAAGGGACATACGCACATGTGAAGGCTTCACTTGTTTAGGATCATTTATTTTTTATTTTTTTGTTAATCCTCACTTGAGGATATTTTTTCATTGATTTTTAGGGAAGAGTAGAAGAGAGAGGGAAAGACAGAGAGAAACATTGATGAGAGAGAAACACATCTATTGGTTGCCTCCAGCACGAGCCCTGACCAGGGCCTGGGCCAGGAAGGAGCTTGCAACCAAGGTGCATGCCTTTGACCAGAATTGAACCCAGGACCTTTTGGGATGCAGGCCGATGCTTTATCCACTGAGCCAAACTGGCTAGGGCTTGTTTTAGATCAGGGGTCCTCAAACTACGGCCCGCGGGCCACGTGCAAATACAAATATTGTATTTGTTCCCGTTTTGTTTTTTTTACTTCAAAATAAGATATGTGCAGTGTGCATAGGAATTTGTTCATAGTTTTTTTTTAAACTATAGTCCGGCCCTCCAACGGTCTGAGGGACAGTGAACTGGCCCCCTGTTTAAAAAGTTTGAGGACCCCTGTTTTAGATCATTTAGATGACAGCTAGTAATCATGATGATCAATTATAATAAATCTTTTTAATGTGAGTTTTCTCAATGTATATTTCTATTAATAGTTCAACTTTGCTGAAATAGTTGGTCTGACTGACAGGAAACACAGTTTTGCTCTGGTAGCAGGAATACCACAGGCAGAAATCAGTCTACAATGCACGCCTCCTTTCTGCTGACAAATTACACGTGCAGTTGAGCATGAGCTGGACAGCAGTTCTGTTATGTGTTCTCCCAGAGTCCTCGGGAGGGGGGTGAAGGGAATGGGGAACTGGCACACAGGGAGCGTGGAGTGAGCGACACGCGCTATTGGAGGCAGTTTTGTAATAAATATCAACATTTAAAACGTGGGTCCTTTGAGCTGGTAGTTCTCCTTCTAGGACTCGATCCTGTCACACCGGTGTGCAGAGGTGCTGGTGGCAGTGGTGTGGGAAGAGGAGAGAGCTGTTGACTGGAACGCTCCATAGGCAGGTGAACTCTGCCAAGCCAGGCGGCCACCAGAGAGCACGGTCGCTCCCAGCATCAGTACACACAACTGCAGGCAGCCCCGACTCGCGGCTTTCCCGCCCTCCCGTGTGCGAAAGCGCTAGGCAGGTCGTGGAGTGCACTTCGCAGTTTGATCGTTTCTGGCTCGGGACATGCTGGACGAAGCTCTCATGGTGCCACCGATCACAGGGTCAACAGCTGACACTCGGCAGCAGGAGTGGGGCCATGTGGCCTGAGGGCCATGTAAGCCCGTGAGATCACGTGCTCTGGCTCTGCCAGGCATTGGGGGTGAGTTAATTAAATGTTTGACCAAATATAGCAGCTAATTCTAAGGTGATGATTTTGTATGGCCCGGGAATCTATATAATAAAAGCCCAGTGACCATGCGGCAGAAAGACCAACTGGAACGACCGGTTGCTATGACGTGCAGCCGCTGGGGCTGCGGCTGAGCCAGAGGGCCCTGTGGCCAGTTGCGCGGCAGCCGCCAAGGCGCCGATGAAGAAGGTGAAGGTGGCCAGTGTGAGCGCAGCTTGAGGTGAAGGCTCTGTGGGACGAATTCAGTCAGCTGGGCATCGAGATGATCGTCACCAAGGCTGGCAGGTCAGGGCGCCCCTCTCCCCGCTGCGACCCTCCCCATGTGGTGCCAGTCTTGGGCAGCGGGCTTTGGCCCGATCCACGCGGGCGAGACTGAGAAGCGGGTGGGGGTGCGGCTCCTTCGCTCCGAGTCCCGGCTCTAACGACAGCGCCTGGTGCCGGCCGGAGGGGACTGCTCAGGAGGCCGGGAAGGCAGCGGAGAGAAACCCTGTGAGCCAGCCGCCCGGGACCAGGCACCGCTGGAAACAGATCAGCTCAGAGCTCCCCGAGCGTGGGGGGCAGGCAGCCGCCTGGGAGGGGCCTCGCCACCAGCGGCTCCCTGTGGATCCCGCCTCAGAGGAAACTCGTCTTTGGTTCCTTAGTTCAGTCCCTCCGGCTGCAGAGGAGCAGCGGGGCATGTTTTAGGGGAGAATGAAGACGCTACAGCAATGTGTTCTGGTCCGAGGAGGCGGCGGCCCAGTGGTCTGAGGCCTCCCTTCCGGCTGATGGTGGGGCCCGCGTGTGTTGTCAGGGCCCAGAGAGAAGAAGGGGAACAAGTGTCTGATGGTTTGACCAACAGACCAAGGCGAGTGCCGGGCTGTGTCTCATGTGCCCGCGGAGACACCAGCTGTGAGTCCGCCTGGCCTGAGGGAGCTCGGGGTGTTCGCAGAGCCTTCTGGTGGTTTCTGTTTCCTGCCGAGGCCGCTCTCCCTGGGAAGCCAGGGGACCATGCTCAGCTCCAGCTCAGGTGGTCTTCTCCAGGCCCTGCCCCCCGCCAACCCCGCCTCCAATTTGCTCTCCCGCGGCCCCTCCCCCCAGCTGGCCCATCACCCCATGTGGGGTGGGAGAGGGCAATGGGGTGTGGGAGAGGGCAGCTGGCTGGACCCCACCGGTGCACGAATTCGTGCACCAGGCCTCTAGTGATGTTATAAATATCCAAATGGCCCTTGGCAGAAAAAGGGTTCCCCACATCTGCTCTACAGTGTGCTGTGTTGTCAGCATTTTCTGGATATTTTATTTTGTGTTTCCGTGTCCCATCATGTCTACAAAATTCCCCCGTGTCTCCTCTGTGAGGAGAGGGAAGGCAGTGGAAGACAGCTGCCCTGGTGTGGGCTGATGTCAGTGCTCGGAGCACGGTTCAGGCCAGCTTGGCTGAGCTACCGTGTTAGGTAGGTTTGACCTACGATATTCTGAATTTAGGATGGATTTGTTGGGACATAATTGCATCATAAATTGAGGGACATCTATGCATAGTTTTTATTCCATTTGTATGAGGAAAAAGTGTGTGTATTTCTGAGCGTTTGTGTGTATGTTTGCATTTTTAATTGTGATAAAAACTGTATAAAATTTGTCATTAAGTACGTTCCCATTGTGCAGCCGTCACCTACATTCTCTCCAGAACATTTTTTATCATGCGAAACTAAAACCCTGTCCCCTATTAAACAGCAGCCCCTCCTCCCCCCTCCCCAGCCCGTGGCACCCACTCTTCTTTTCGTCTTTTATGAATTTGCTGTCGGGACGGTGTATAAGTGGAGTCCTATAGAATTTGCCCTTCCAGGACTGCCATATTTCACTTAGCAAGTTGTCCTCAAGGTCCATTCATGTGTGGCAGGTGGCAGAATCCTCTTCCATTCAAGGCTGGATAATGCCCTTTGAACGGGTGGACCACACTTCGTTGGCCCACGCATCTACCCACGGACGCTGGGTCGCGCCTGCCTCTGGCTGTTGTGTGAGTGATGCTGTGACGTGGGGTGCAGTATCTGTTTTGATATCCCGGGGAAAGGTGACGCTCTGAACCCTGGGAGATGAGGCTGGGCAGAGTGACGGTGGTACCTAGACTTACCTCATGTCCTTGGTGTTTTCATTTTTTACAATAAGCGTTAGGTCTTGCTCATAATTGGTAAGTTGTGAAATCACTAATTTCATGTCTTTGGTTTGTGCTGTAAAGAACACGGCAGCCCCTTTACCACGGATTCCTGCCCGCGTTGTGAGAGCGTGCAGGCTGCGACTGAAGGAGATCCCCTCCAAAGAGCTGTTCAAGGAATGTGTCAGGTAAGGGGCTGTGCCCACCCTGCCCATCGCTTGTGGCTCGCCCTGAGACGGGCCTGCAGGAGGCTTCTGGGCCTGAGACCGTTCCTACAGAGTGCTGTCGAAATGAAATGCCGCTTCCACTGGGAGGAGTCGTCAGTGCACTTGCATAGGGACCCACGGAGGCAGCCACATGGGAGGGCCAGGGTGGTGGCAGCACTCTGCCGGCTCCTGGCTCTCTGCTCAGCCTTCCAAAATGCTGGTGTCTGGGATGAAAAGATTTCCATAAAATGTTTTGTTTTTTTTAATGATTTTAGAGAGAGAGGAAGGGAAAGAGAGAGAAACATCAATATGAGAGAGACACACCGATGGGCTGCCTCCTGTACGCACCCGGACCAGGGCCAGGATCGAACGTGCAGTCCGGGTACATGCCCTGGACTGGGAGTCGAGCCCAAGGTCCTTCTGCTTCACAGGCTGACACTAACCACTGGAAACGCGGCCAGGGCTGTGCAGTTTCAAATGTCATAATGGTTTGAAATGTGTGCGGTCGCTGTATTTCCCAGACTAGAGCCGAACAGCAGTTCCCTGTTTTGAGGCAGAAGTGAAATTGAGAAGCGCTGGTAGGTTGATGGTAGCCATTGATTTATACAGACTCTGAAATACACAGATATAATACAGGTGAGGGAAACTGGGCTTCCAGCGGGGAGTATACGAAAGAGTTTAGTCTTGTATTATTATTTACTAATTATTGTATGATTTTCCATATGAACAGCTGTAAGCCTGCTTTTGCCTCACCCTGTAGAATAAGCTGCTGTCTGTGTTGTGCTTCTCATGGAAATTCTTAAATGCCTTGATACAGACGATGTAGCTGACAGCGGCATCGAGTCCTTTAACCCGTTCAGAAAGCTTTGCATTTGAGCTGCCCACCTGCTCCTGCGCGGAAGGCGCCCCCAGCGTCCGGGAGCAGCCTGTCCATGAGGAAGTGAGGAGCAGGCCCGGGAAGTCTCCGGAGCAGCGTTTAGTTCTCAGATTGAACATAGCGGCCGTTTCAGACCTTTCTCTCAGGACCTGGTCCGCTCTTAACACATTGCGCACCGCATAGAAATCTCTAAGACATACGCCAGGGACCGCACGTTTTTGGGCAAACTGCACGTTATTTAAATCATCATAATGCACTTTAGGTGTTGTTTTTCAATAATTATAACACTTTTATTTACAAAAACAAACAATTAAAGTTCCTAGTACTTTTTTAACGTATGGTACTGCGTAAAACATTTTCCTCTATGAAGAGGGACCAAACAAAACTTACATAAGTATCTAGATTCGCTCCTTTTTCCATGGGCGTGAAAAACGAGAACACTCGTGAGCGGTCCTTAACAGATGGCCCGCGAAACACGAGAAAACTCCTGAGCGGTACGAAAGGTGTTAAAACTCGTGGAGGACCGGAGAGCTTTTGTTCATGTGGGTCGTGCTTCTTAAAATAAGACACGAGCATCCCACTCTCAGAGCCGCGGCGTTGCCGCACTGCAGCCTCTGGAAAGCCCTCTGGGAGGATGGGGTTCAGAATACGTGCGGCCTCAGTGTCACTGTAAATGCAGCGTTGCTGCCCAGCTCCCCTGAGAGGGCTCGGCCTGTGGGGACCTCAGCAGCGTGTTCCTGCAGCATCGGCGCGTGCTTGCAGCCCACTCAGCAGGACAGGGAGAGATGCTGCCCCAAGGGAGCATTTTATTCCTTCAAAATAGAGTTATAAATGGCCAGTTGCATAAAATTTGAGAAAGTGTGTCACGTAAAATAATTGATTGCTTCATTTCCAGTGTTAAAACAACAGGTGTGTCACATATTAACATTTTCTGCCTTGTGACTATTACCAATTAGACATTCCTCCATTTTATTTACAAAATGTTTAAATTCCCTCCGGAAATATACATGCCTATGTGTGCACACACAGTTTGAATATGTTTTAAACTGTTGTCTTTTTACTGATAGATTGTTTTTATAAAGTACTTCTCTGATGTCCATATACATAAAAAGAACCTCTGACTTTGGGAGGGTAAATTGATTTCATTTCTTTTGAATCTTCCCTTCCCGTTTTCACTGATAGCATTGGAGCCTGTTGTGACTCCTGTAATTTCGCATTCAGTATTGAGCAGTGTGTGTGTGACAGGCTTTCCCATGCCCAGGGCTTGCTGTTGCACTAACACAGCTGTTTCCGTGTTGTAAGGAAGCAGGTATAACTGCACGCCATCTTCTTCTAGAGTTGTCCATCGCTATTTAAGTGGAAAGCCATTTGAAGAATACCAAGAGAGCCCATATTTTTCTCGATTTTTACAGTGGAAATGGCTGGAAAGGTATGTTCTCACTTAAGATTCAGTGAAAACAATGGTAACTTCTCATACTCACCCTGATTGATGTATACTTTTCCATCTGTCAAAGTACTCTTGGAAATCTTGGCCTTCATGTGGTATTTCTGTACAGAGATTATTAATGTGTGTTACTAGTTTCTTCTCATTCACTTGACTCTGTTCTGTCTTTTTTAAATGGTTGTCAGCCCTCTTGGTGCAGTAGTTAGAAAAATAAAGCATGTCCTAGGGTCACAGACATACAGTGCTGTGGGTCTCAGGCTGTGCTGGCCTATTGCAGCTGGGCGGCCTCCTGCAGCTGTGCTAGCCTCCTGCAGCTGTGCTGGCCTCCAGTGGCCTCCTGCAGCTGTGCGGCCTCCTGCAGCTGTGCTAGCCTCCTGCAGCTGTGCTAGCCTCCTTCAGCTGTGCTGGCCTCCTGCAGCTGTGCTAGCCTCCTGCAGCTGTGCGGCCTCCTGCAGCTGTGCTAGCCTCCTGTAGCTGTGCTAGCCTCTTGCAGCTGTGCTGGCCTCCAGTGGCCTCCTGCAGCTGTGCGGCCTCCTGCAGCTGTGCTAGCCTCCTGCAGCTGTGCTAGCCTCCTTCAGCTGTGCTGGCCTCCTGCAGCTGTGCTGGCCTCCTGCAGCTGTGCGGCCTCCTGCAGCTGTGCTGGCCTCCTGTAGCTGTGCTGGCCTCCTGCAGCTGTGCTAGCCTCCTGCAGCTGTGCGGCCTCCTGCAGCTGTGTGACCTCAGGCAAGTGACTTAGCCTTTGTGAGCTTCAGGTCCTGGTTCTGTAAGTCGAGGTGCGCATGACCCACGCCACTAGATGCCTGGGTCGCCTGAGAAATGTGTGTGAAGTGCTTAGCCTTCCTAGTCTCGTGTACAGAGTAAGTGCTCACAAAGTATTAGCTGCCACTAGTCTTGTTATTACAATTGTTATTATTTTTACTTTTAATCCTCACCCGAGGAGTGAGGATATTCTTTCCATTGATTTCTAGAGAGATTGGAAGTGAGGGGGTAAGGGAGGAGAGAGAGAGAAACATTGACCTGAGAGAGATACATTGATTGGTTGCCTCCTGAACACACCCCAACCAGGGCCGGGGATCAAACCTGTAACCCAGGTACGTGCCCTTGACTGGGAATCGAACTCTTGACACTTCAGTGTTTGGGCCAACACTCTAACCATTGAGCGACATCGGCCAGGGCTACAATTATTATTGACTAGAGGCCTGGTGCACAGATTCGTGCACATTGAAAGGAAATTAGAAGGTGGCCAGCGGGGAGGGACTGGGCAAGATGGACCGGACACGCCCTGGAGCCAACCTCCCGTGATCCCTCCCGGCCAGCCGCACCTGGGGCGGTGCTGGGGCTCAAAGGGCGTCTGCGGAGTGAGTGGGGTCCCTCCGGCAGGTGGGGTCCCTGGACCTGGCTTGCGGGGTTTGGGCCGCAACCGGCAGTCCGACATCCCACAAGGGGTCCCAGAGTGCGAGAGGGCACTCTGCAAAGTTGCTGCCGCTCGGCAGCTCCTGCTTTGAGTGTCTGCCCCCTGGTGGTCAGTGCATGTCATACCTACCGGCTGGGTTGGTCAATCGTTTCGTGGTTATGTCACCATCGCCCCTTTATTTATAAAAAAAGTTCCGTCATTTTGACGTATGTACATATGTGCTTTATGTTTTTTATTATTTATTTACCACAAGTAAAGGTCAGGAATTGTTATCTTTCTTTTAAATTTTGTTTACGGTTTCCCTTCATTACTGCTGTGTCTGTGCTCCATGTGAGTGACGTAGGTGTTTATGTAGGTGGGTTCCGACTTACGGCGAAAATCGCATTACGTCGCCGTAGGAGCGGATCTCCGACGTCACCCGAGGACATACTGTATATAGATTGACCACTTTTCCAGTTCTAGTTCAGACATGTTTTTCGAGATGTCCGGTTTTTCAAAGGACAGCGCGCTGTAGACCCGTCCTCTCTCCTCAGCAGCTTTCTGACGGGCCTGAGGGGGTCCTGGGAATACATAATACTTCACATGTGGGCGAGTTGCAAACTTGTCTTTCCTGAGTAAAGATAACTGGACCATTCTGCATCTGTCATCCGTGTTTTCAGTGAAAAATGTTCCGTGTGCTTGTTGCTGAGTGCAGCTGAGAGCTGTCCCCGGGAGGGCCACAGTCCCCAAGCACAGGCACCCTGCCCTCCCCTAGACCAGTTGGGCTCCATAACTAAGTCTGGGACCAGAGCTCGGTGGGCTTTTCTGCTTTAAAGTAACAATGTGATGTGAGACCTGAAACTTCTTTTTTATTACTTAGGCAGCCAGTAACAAAGAAAACATTTAGACATTACAGAGTTCTAGGAAAAGGCGGATTTGGAGAGGTAAGTATTATGTGGCCAATGTGCGCAATCCTATACAGCGAGGTATTTGAGACACTCGCTTCAGGTAACGCATCCACTGAAGTTGCACATGTACTTCCATAACATGTATCTGGGGAATAAGCATGAGCATTAAGATTGAACTTTGAGCCCTGGCCGGTTTGGCTCAGTGGATAGGGTGTCGGCCTGCGGACTCAAGGGTCCCAGGTTCAATTCCGGTCAAGGGCATGTACCTTAGTTGTGGGTACATCCCCTGTGGAGTGTGTGCAGGAGGCAGCTGATCGATGTTTCTCTCTCATCGATGCTTCTAACTCTCTATCCCTCTCCCTTCCTCTCTGTAAAAAAATCAATAAAATATATATTTTTTTTAAAAAGATTGAACTTTGAGCAAAAGGTACGTTAGTAAAAGCTTTTAAAAAAATTAGGAAGTGCCCAGCCAGCGTGGCCCAGTGGTTGAGTGTCAACTAGGATCCAGGAGATCATGGTTTGATTCCAGGTCAGGGCACATGCCTGGGTTGTGGGCTCAATCCCAATAGGGGGCAGGCAGGAGGCAGCCAATCAGTGATTCTCTCTCATCATTAATGTTCCTGTCCTTCTCTCCCTTTCTCTTCCTCTCTCTGAAGCCAATAAAAACATATTTAAAAAAGAAATAAAAATAAAAAATCAGGAAGTTTTTTTTGGGGGGAAAATCATTATCTTTGTTTTTACCTTTCACTTCATAAAGACGTTGTTTTCCCATGTCCAATGTTTAGGCTCTGTCTGTCCTGATTGAAAGATTGTTTCTTTTTAAAATTTTATTGTTTTTTGTTTGTTTGTTTTTTAGGGAGAGAGAGAAACATCGATTTGTTGTTCCACGTAATTTATGCATCCGTTGCTTAATTTCCGTATGTGCCCCGACTGGAGATCGGATCCACAACTTTGGTGTATCGGGACGATACTCTAACCAATTGAGCTACCCGGCCGGGGCTGATAGTTGTGTTTCTATGTTGTGAATTGTTGTGACTATACTTCCATAATTTAGGGCTAGCCTAAAAGTTCATGTAGGACAAAAGCATGTTATTATATGTGCTTATTCAACTCAACTCGGTTTGCACATATATTCACCTTCCACCTCTACCAAACAGTGTTAGAGAATGTGTACGTTTAGGAAAATCCTGGGGAAACTACCCACAAATTCATGAGAGATGGTTTGTAAACGTGATGGCCGTGCCAGGTAGAGCCATCCGTGGTGGGTGGACAGAGACGCACGGGCACTCTGTCGAGGTGATTTAAGGAGACGCCATTGCTTCGTGCATTATCTGCAGTGATCATATTCAGTGCAGGCGTTTAGAAGGCCCAGAGCCAGGGGAGCCAGAGGGAAATGAAAGTGGATGCTGTCAGAGGGCTTGCACTGCCCGCCTGTGTTTAAATCACACATGCTCCCCAACTCCACGCCAAAGCCAAAGCCAAGGCCACAAGCATTCCTTTCACACGATTGGAAAGCTGACCCAAGAGGTGACACACTACCAGGGAGATCCGCTGGGCCAGGGCAGGAACGTGGTCCACGCAGCCATCACCGCAAGAGAATCAGTGGTGCTGCACCCTGGTTCAGTTCTCAACCTTTTATTTAGTAGTGTTATTATTTTAAAATATTTTTATTTATTTATTTATTTATTTATTTTAAAATATATTTTATTGATTTTTTACAGAGAGGAAGGGAGAGGGATAGAGAGTTAGAAACATCGATGAGAGAGAAACATCGATCAGCTGCCTCTTGCACACCCACTCCTGGGGATGTGCCCGCAACCAAGGTACATGCCCTTGACCGGAATCGAACCTGGGACCCTTCAGTCCGCAAGCTGACGCTCTATCCACTGAGCCAAACCAGTTAGGGCTAAAATATTTTTAAAGATTGATTCTTGAAAGAGAGGAAGGGAGAAAGAGAGAGAGAAACTTCTATGTAGAGTGAAACATTGATCGGCTGCCTCCTGCACGCGCCCCACCAGGGATCGAGCCCACAGCCCAGGCCTGTTGCCTTTTGGTGTTGGGGATGATCCCCAACCCACCGAGCCACACCAGCCGGGGCAGTGCTCCAGACCTTTTAGAATATTTGCATAATCCAACCTAGTGCTTGTTGTCTACACCTTCATAATGATGTTTCTGTGGGAAATCCACCCTGTGTGGACACCTCTTGAGTTCCTCCTGTCCTTCCTTTCATGATGTCCAAGCGTAAAACTCAAAGAAAGAGGAAAAGGAGTTTCAAGCACATGGGTCTTGTGTTGACAAAAGAATGAAGTTCTTGTTACAGACACATGGGCTTTAAAAGTGAGTTTAGTAGGAACATGTTAGCCAGGGGTGGGCGGGAGCAAGGTCTATGTTCTTACATGTACATGTGCGGAGGGGGACTGGAAGCTATCCAGAAAAAAATTAATGATAGTTTTCTTGGGATTTCAGATGAGTTTTTAATCAT